TTTTTGAGACAGGGTCTCACTCTGTCACCCAGTCTGGAATGTGGTGGTGTGATCATGGCTCACTTGACCTCCCGGCTGGTCTCAAACTCCTGGGCTCAAGCCATCATCTCAAAGTGCTGGGATTACATGCATGAGCCAGCACTCCCAGCCCAGCTCTGCCATTTCTAAGCTGACTCACAGAAAGTTACTTATTTAGCTTTTCTGACCCTTACTTTCCTGATCTCCAACTGGAATGACAACAATATTAACTTTAGTCATTATTAGCTTTTATGAATTAATCCACATCAAATGCTTAAGAGATGTTCTCCATAAATGTTCACATTGTTCCATAGGCTGGTTCTTCAAGTGTCTTCAGATGACGAATACAGTTCCCTTGCATCTCATCTTCAGGCTCAATATGATCAGTTCTTTCACTTGTATCTCCTTCCATTTCTCAGTGAGGAGCCAAGCACAGAAAGGCATTTTCTAGAGTAGTCTAACACCAAGCAAGCCTGGCCATACCTAACCATTCTGTTAAAAGTCATGCTTTCATTAATAATGCCTATGATGTCACTTTCTCTGGTGATCACAGCTATCAATTCACACACTAAGCTTACTGTCAGTTAAAATCTGTAATATTTAAAAATATGTTTTTGTTCCCTTATGTAATATTTAACCTATGTAGTGGGGTTTTAAGTTTTTATTGATTTATTTTTTATTCGAGCTTAAGACCTTACATACATCTTTACAAGCATGGCATATAGTAGATGTTCCATAAATACCTATTAAATGAATAAACCACTATCATATTTAACTTAAGACACTCCACCAAGTTCTTGTTGATCTTATTCTACCTATTTCCAGTTTGCGTTCCCTAGTCCCATCAAGGATGGGAATGCTGAACTTGATAGAGCTGAGGATAATCTAGTCATATGCTACTAAAGCTTCCTTCCAATATGCAACGATCAGCCTGGGAATCGTCAATCATTTACTAATCCACACAACTGCTTTCATGTTTAGCCAATATCTTTCCATCTTGTCCAAAACAGACAGCTTGTCAAACGGCCTGTTGGAGATACAACAACTATATCATTCTTCTATGCCAGTATTTTTACCAGTCAATGAAGGCAGTGAATGAAAACTTGTTAGCAAACTATGATAATTAATTACTGCCATATGTACTTTTGATAATCTAGATTATCAAAAGCAATCTTACTGATAATCTAGATTCTTTCCTGGAATTGGGACCAAGTTCATCAGTCTTTTAGCTACTTTTTCCTTATTTCTCCTTTCAGAAATCATTTTAATAATTTCCCCAGGCTGGGCATGGTGGTTCCCGCCTGTAATCCCAGCACTTTGGGAAGCGGAGTCAGGCAGATCACTTGAGGCCAGGAGTTCGAGATCGGCTTGCCCAACATGGCAAAACCATGTCTCTACCAAAAATACAAAAAACTAGCTGGGCATGGTGGCAAACGCCTGTAATCCCAGCCACTCAGGAAGCTGAGGCACAAGAATCATCTGAACCCAGGTGGTGGAAGTTACAGTAAGCAGAGATCGTGCCACTGCACTCCAGCCTGGAAGCCACAGTGAAACACCATTAAAAAAAAAAAAAAAAAAGAATTCCCCTTTCTTCTCACTTGCTTATAGCTTCTTTTCTATTTCTGATCTGAGGCTCCATACAGAGGACATCCACGTTTATTTTAACACAGCACTCAAGGCCTCTTTCCCCTTCTTGGAAGCAAGCCTGGAGAGAGGACTGCCCCATTCCAGTGACTCCTGGTTAAGGCTGGAATTCAGTATTAGGAAGTGCACACATTCTCCAGTATCTGCTTTATTGGTAGTAAAGGGGATACGGTGACCCCAATATGTTTTCCTTTTTTGCCTTAAACATTCAGAATGCAGGCAGGAAAGATGGGTGTCATTGTTAAACTCCCCTTGAAGACTCCCAGAATTTCTCAAAAATTGTGGACAAGGCTCTGCAATTCTTTTCACAAATTCTTTCTCTGCTCTAGGATCTGTCTTAGCCCTTTTGGTTTGAACATCCTCCTTCTTAACAGAAAAGACAAAAGTAACAAAAATTTTACCTCCACTCTGTAATCCCTGGGCATTATACAACCAGTCCAAGGCAATGATTCCTTTCTAGTCACCAAACCAAACTCTAAAGTTTCTTTTAATCTACCTACTTTTTTTTTTTTGCAAGTCTCAGCTTAGAGACCCTGTGTTTTATTCATCCTTGCTTTTATACCCTTACTATCCATTTTCTGAAAATGTCGCATTATAAACTAAGTTTATCAGAAAGCTTCCCCATCCCTATTGGATCTTCTCATTTTATCATTCTTTGGCAGCATGGTCAGAATGAAATTCCTCAGTTTCCTAATACTTTTGATCCACCATCTCTGTTACATTGTCAAGAATACATGCCTATCTTTTCCTTCTTTTTTTTTTTTGGAAACGAAGTCTTGCTCTGTTGCCCAGGCTGGAGTGCAGTGGCGCAGTCTTGGTTGACTGTAACCCCCACCACCTGGGCTCAAGTGATTCTCCTGCTTCAGCCTCCTGAGTAACTGGGATTACAGGCGCCTGCCACCTCTCTGGCTAATTTTTTTTGTATTTGTAGTAGAGATGGGGTTTCACCATGTTGGCCCAGCTGGTCTTGAACTCCTGACAGGTGATCCGCCCACCTCCGCCTCCCAAAGTGCTGGGATTACAGGTGTGAACCACTGCACCTGGCCTATCTTTTCTTTGACACTCTTGTAGTCTATAAACATTTGACCAAGTTCAGGTTTCCTGTATTTGGCTCACCAACTAATTTTCTCTCAAGATCTGTCACTTTCACTCTACCCATCAATTCTGTCATTTTGGAAAGTACTCTAATTTCAAGTAATAGTTCCCCCAGCTGCTTCCTCTCTATCCTTTAAGAGATGCTGAGTGTTACCAACCAATTTAAAAATCTGTTTGACTTTCTATTTTAACAGATGTACTCAAGGCAGACATGAGCACCAAGTAAGCACATCACTACAGGGCATGGCTGCCTCTCCACCAGTTTTAGGGTAAGCATAAGGAACACATCCTCCACAATTTCCCCCAAGTAACAACTCCTCTTCATCCTCTGCTTTGAATTCACACAAAATGTCACCAGTGTGACTTAACTTCCTATCTCTGATATACTAATTTTGAACTCACTATAATTTGAGTCTGGAGGCAAGGAGGGTGAGTACAATATATGCTGCACTATCAAAACCATGT